AATTCATTTACTCATAGAAATTAGGTTTTTTTTTCTTAGCACATTGTATTTATATGGTTTCTCAAGATTATAGAATACAACTTTAAAATATTTGTTAGCACAAATAATTTTAATCATGAAACTGTGGCACATGCTTATTTTCTCTTTATAGGCGAGATAAACTTTGGATATGCATGGAGTTTTGTGGAGGTGGCTCTTTACAGGATATTTATCATGGTAAGACCAAAGTTATATTTTATAGAGATTAAATAGAATTTCTTAATATAAGTAATGTAATGTATTAAAACATTAATGTTGTTTTGAGCAAAGTATGTTTGGATACATAAAGATATTTCAGATATATATGGATGAAAGGAGCACTTGCTTTATAAGTTGGAAAACTATATGCAGTTGAATTATTAGCTAATTCTATAGAAGGAATGTTATATATAGTTAATTCTTGAAATTTCAAACTCAGACTTATAGAAGACACGCAAAGGCTTTGATGGCTAATACTAAGCCAAAAGAATATCCAATTGATAAATGAATAGTATTAATGCAAAGATAGTCGATTTTGCTCTCATGTATTCAAGAAGCATCAATTGAATGTTGTCTTAGATGCTAGATAATGAGGAATTAAAAAAATTATTAGAACATTTTTCATTGGGATTTCAATGGAGTAGTATATGAGACTTTTAAAGTAAAATAAACAATTTTTACTGTCTTTTTTTTCTGTTCTAGTTCTGTTAATGGTTACTGTCACAAACTGTAGAGTAGCTTTTATACTTTTGCCGGAGGTGTACTTTTTGATAAATGTAAAATAAAATTATGTCAGTAATTCATGATGTCAATTTTCCCGAGAAAATATTTTGAAATAATTTTCTCAGTTTTTCATATAGAACTTGAGCTCATATATCTAGTTTGGGGCCGCTCATGTAATATTAGGGGCTGATTGGAATAAAGGAAATGTTAAAAGGCTATTTGGATAGAATACTGATTTTGTTTCACTTCACTATATCTTGGTATCAAGTCATTAGCAAAGATTCCCATCATTGGAATTTGATTTTCATCATAGTGTTTCCAAATGAATTTCTTTACTCTAAAATGATGACTAGTGAAAAAGAGAAAACAATTGAAATATCTTCCATAGTGGATAGATGCACAAGGAGAAATATTTTTCAAATATTACAATATGATTAAGCTACTTATTGATGCAGGAAGGTGGCCATAATAAGTGAAAAGGGCTGGTTTCAGAACTGTATGTGTAATATGATTCCACTTATGCTTTTGTGTATGATGCATACATATATTATATGAAATGTCTCTGCATAAAATTGTATAGTAATTTATAGGCCAAACTATAGGTAACAGAATAAGGAAGAGGCCTATACTTTCCAAACTTCTCTGTTGATTGAAATGTTTTATAGTGAACTTATATTAATTTTATAGCTATAAAGTTAAAAATTTGGGGGGAAAATATTGACTTTAAATGAGCCATAATACATGTAACACATCAACTTTTTAAAAGCTTTTTATAAAACTAGCTAAACCTTTTGGCCATGCTTTCATTCTTATAATATTTAAGAAATAATATTGGTTAGTGAGGTATAAAATTATAACTAATTTCAGAGACTATGTCAGGTTTTTATTCACTATATAAACATTTATTGCACAACTTTTCATGCTAGGCACTGTTCTATAGACAGGATACAATGAGTCAATCAGATTATTTAAAATCCTTCCCTCATGGAGCTTACATTTTAGAGTTATTTATTAAACGTTAAACCTGTTGCTTAATGGAACTTGTAAAACATTGTCAGTTTTGAAAAACATGCTTTGCCTAATTTTATTAATGTTAATTTTCTTCTCTGACAGTAACGGGACCTCTGTCAGAATTGCAAATTGCATATGTTAGCCGAGAAACACTACAGGTAAATCCAGTGCTAATTAAAAAGTAACATTCTTCATTAAAATTAATGTTTAATTATTGTGCATTACCTGTTAAGTAAAGTAGGATTAAATATTCTAGTTTGGTAAACTCTTGAATATTAATACATTTTTAATTGTTTTTGTAATAAACCCAAGTTACATCTGCATATCAGTACTTTAAAGTCTCAGTGTGATAATTTGAACTCCTACGTTTTAAGTGCTGTGGATTTGTTACTTTATGTTTTTATATTCCTCTTAATACCAAGGAAAGGCTTGAAAATTAAGCATTCTTGTGGTAATTGAAACTCATTCTGATCCTAATTGCACAAATATTTTTTTAAGTTATTTCAAACTATTTGTAGAGTTTAGTGAAAATTACTTATCTTAGGAAAATGAATGGTTCCAACTGAACTTTGCCTTTTTCATTTTCTTGATTCTTTTCTTTATTAAAATAAATTGATTACCTTAAGACTTTCTGTAATGAGTAAATAAAAAATGGAGAATACTACTCAGTGGATCATTTTAAATCCCAAAGAGCTCTGTAGTAAAATCTTGTTAATTTTTGTGTTTTGTTTTTTTGAAACTCCAGGGACTATACTATCTTCACAGTAAAGGAAAAATGCACAGAGATATAAAGGTACATACACATTATATGTTTAACCTATTGTCCCTCTCTTCATTTTTAAATGCTCTGATCAAACTGTTGACCAAAATTGTCTGGATTTTTCTATTGGATGAATTTGTTATCTGAAATATGTTATTATAATAAAATTGAGTAATGCTTTTAAAGGTTTTATTACTTTTTTATAGCAACTTTATTGAGATACAATTCACCTACCCTAAAATTCACCCTTTTGGAGTGTACAGTGTGGGTTAATGTGCTGTCTTCTATTATTCCCACCTCTGTTTGGGGCGGGAAGGGGTTTCCTGGTATTTTTCCCCCATAAGGTTATAATTACATGATTGATGGCACTCTGGACTAAAGAGGCGGCTTACTTTTGCTTGCACATTTAAAAGTTGCAGAAAAGACAAAAATAAATAAGTAAAAGCCTGCAATGTCTTTTGGAGACAGTATTTCTACCTCCTTCAGAAGTTGGAGCTTATTGAAAATAAAGTGGTTCATATCTTTGAACTTCGGTTAAGAAGCAAAAGTAGCTAAAATGCTACTAAGTCATTGTAATGGAAGAAACTCAGGTTGTTTTCTTTCCATACAGTGAAAAACCCAGTTCTTCCCTACTGTGTCTTTCCTGTGAGTCTCCTTTACTACTGACACAGAACACTTCACTTCTGGCACTTCTGGTCACCAAACGTGGAGGGTTTTTCCCACAACAAGCAATTCTCTGTGACACCAGCTGGATGCCCTACAATCTGACTCAGTTCGGATTGGGTTAGATCCCACAGGTTAAAGGGCTCAGTCTCACAAGACTCCCCCTCACCCCTTTGCAGCCCCCCTCCCCAACACACACACACTTCAGATGCTAGTCCCAAGCTCAGGTTATCTGTGCTTCTGACCAACCAGCTATGGATGGAGTGGAGATTCCAAAGACCCCATCCTTGGGTTCTGTGAATTTGCTAAAGCAGCTCACCGAACTCAGAGACATAATTACTGTTTACCAGTTTATTAAAGGATATGATAGCCCTGGCCAGTGTTGCTCAGTAGTTAAAGTGTCGGCCCATGCACCAAAGGGTCAGGGGTTCGGTTCCCAGTCAAGGGCACGTACTTGGGTTACAGGTTTGATCCCCAGCCCCAGTTGGGGCACATGCAGGAAGCAACCGATTGATGTGTCTCACATCGATGTTTCTCTCTCTCTCTCTCTCTCTCTCTCTCCCCCCCCCCCCGCCCCTCTTTCTTCCCCCTCTTCCCTTCCACTCTCTCTAAAAAAATAAAATGAAAAAAAACCCTTGGGTGAGGATTAGCAACAAAAAAAGGATACTGATGAAAATCCCCATGGAGGGGATGCATAGGGCAGGGTCTGTGGGAAGAGGCGCAGAGCTCCCATGCGCTCTCCAGGGCACACCACTATCTCAGCACCTACACGTGTTCCCCAACTCAGGAGCTCTCCACACTCTGTACTACTGGGATTTTATGGAGGCTTCCTCACATCGGCACGATGGATCAGTCACTCCATTTTTAGCACTGCTCCCTTCTTCAGGGGAGTGGGGGTGAGGCTGAAAATTCCAAGCTTGCAATCATGGCTTGGTCTTCCAGTGGCCAGCCCTCACCCAGGAGCCGTCCAGGAGTTCACCTAGAGTTGCTTCATTAGAACCGGACACGCCTGTCACCCAGGAAATTATGCAAAGTTTCAGGTGTGCTGTGTCAAGAACTGGGGCAAAAGACCAAATATTGGAACAGAAGATGGTCCTAGTACTCTTATCACTGAAGACATTATAAGGGTTTCAGGAGCTTTGTGCCAGGAACTGGAGGCACAGACCAATATATATTTTCTATTATTCACAATCATGGAGATAGGTGACATTTTAATTCTGCGGACCAGTGGCTAATTGTATCCTGAATGGTCCTAAACTCCGGACAGACATATTAAGGATAGACAGCCTCACATACTAAGCAGCAGGTTCAGTCTTACACACCAGCACTGGTTCAACTGATGGATTGGAGGTTTGTTTTTATTTTTTAACAGGATATAGCAATTAAGTCCAAAATATAAAACAAGGAATTGAAAATGGCAGGATAAGGTGACATTTAAGTGCCGTGACAGTGTTTGATCAGTAAGAAAATAACATCTAGATGAGAACTAATATAACACTTTCATAGTTACATTCATATTATGTTAATAGCAGCTTTTGCAAGGCAGAACATTTTGTAAGCAAGCAAATTGCTTAAAAAGTAGATAGTAAATTTTTCTGTGACTATAATAATTTAACATTTTAATTGGGCATACTTTACATGTTAAGTTTTTCCAGGTCTAAGGCTGCCACTTGTGATTATTTTAATAAATACAGTTATTATATGCACTGTCTGATAAAATGTTTCCTACTTTAACTAAAATGTTCTCACTTTGAAGGGAGCTAACATTCTGTTAACGGATAATGGTCATGTGAAATTGGGTAAGTAAATTAAAATTTTGTCATGCAAATTTATTCGAAAACTAGTAAATTTATATTTTCCTGTTTAGATTATCTTGGCCCTCTCTCATCAAAATTTTTTTATCTTGACTTCTGTTGTCATTTGATTCATGTGGGGATATATGGGAATCTACTTGGCTATGATATACACTGACTACTTTGTAATATTTTAATGCTCGTCCATTAAAGTTAAAATTTTTAATGTGGTATTTGAGAATATCTCCTATTTCTGCAAAATTAGTTTAATGGAAATAATTAAAGATAGTTTAATGAAAATAATAATTAAAGATTCTTCTCATGTTGCCTTAAATATTACTTACTTTCAGTTTTCTTTTCTAAATGTTTCTCATTTTTTTAATAGCTGATTTTGGAGTATCTGCACAGATAACAGCTACAATTGCCAAACGGAAGTCTTTCATTGGTACACCATATTGGTAATTGTATTTTAATTGATAATTAACTTTTTGGTGTGTGTTTTTTTTCATTATTAAATTCAGCATTTAAAAAATAGACAAAATAATAAAAAACTTTAGGATGAAAACATTAAGAAGTTCATTAACAAGTTAAGTAATTTAGGCATATATGCCTGTGGCTGGATTACATAGCCAAAGAATATTCTACCATGTTAATTTCATTTAAGGTGAAAAAGACTAACGATTAATGTCTTCAGGGAACTTTTTCCAATTCTCCTGGAAAAACTCAACCCTTGCTTCTACCTTTCATGTATTTTCACAGATGTTTTTATATATCTTTATTCACCCCCACTTCCAGTCCATATTTTGACTAGTCTCCCAACATTACATTATTCACAGTACCACTTTGCTCAAGACTTTTTGACATATCTTGCTTGCACACAAGATCAAATACATATTTCTTGGCATTTAGAGTGTTCCACAGTGTGACCTCTCTCTGCCTCATTAATCTTAAATGCTTCCAGTTGCCTTCACAAGATCCCTCTTTCTAGCCATATTTGTCTGCTAGTATTCTTTAAGCATTCCATAAAAATTTTTTATTAATTTATTTAATAAATGGTTTTGACCACTTACTATGTGCTAGATGTGCTAGATATGCTCTTAGTCATTGTGAATATAGTGGTGGTAGACACGTGTAGAGCTTTCTTGTTCACACCATTACTTTGAAGTAACAGCACCTCAGAATTCTTTTTTTTTAAATTTTTTTTATTTTCTTGTTTAAAGTATTATAACTAGTAGTACATATGTCTCCTTTTTTTCCCCCCATCCAGCTTAAGTGCCAGGACTCCCCCTGATGCCCTCGTAGTCATCAGCAGTGGGATGGCACTAACCTGGGTGACTCATTTCCAGATTTAGGAGATGATACATACCATTCTTTGTATTAATTTTTCTTTTTATCAAGTGGATGCATATTTTAGAAGTTAAGTAGTCCTAAAGGGCTTATAAAAACTTACCTAGTTGTGTATTTTGCCATCTCTAGTATTATCTGGTGTTGTTTATAGACCCTGTTATGATAGGTGAAGATTTTAGCTCTCTTCATTCATCATCCAGCCTTATCCTTGCAGTGTACTTGCTGAGTCAATTGTTATATTATTACATGTGCTACCTTGAAATGTTTTTTCTATATTGAATAATTTATTCATTTTTAATTTGCTTCGGTTTTTTTTTTTAATCCCTAGCTGAGACTTCTATACCTTTTCACATTTTTCAGTCTGTAACATGCCTCTATACAATTTTCCACATCATAAAGCCTATCAAATTATTTGTTCTGATTTTTGTTTGTTCTTGCTTTGTTTTAATTTGTCTTTTTTCTTATAGTAATCTTTTTTGGAGTCCATTTCCCTCCTATTCCAATCTAAATTGCTCATTTTCTAGGTCTTTTTGCATAGCTTCTCCTGGGAATTTTTCCTCTTTCATTAATTACTTTCTCACACATGTTTTACTAAATTCTCGAGAAATTTGAGTAGTAAAATTTTTGAGACTGCATGTCTGGTTTCACACCTGACTTACAATTTGAGTGTGATGCCATGATGATGCATGGTCTTTGAATGTAACCCATCACCCCTAGAATCATTTCTAGTGGTTTGATATTCCATGATGATGTATCGCAGAATGTTTTGGGTTTTCTGTCATTTTTACTTTTATTTGTTGTACTTGGCATTTCAAGAGACAATGTTGTTGTACAACATTATTTGTTGTACTTTTTAATCAAGAGATTCATGTCTTTCAGTTCTGGGAAATATTATTGTATTACTTCTTTGACAATTTCTTTGTTATCCTTTATCATGCTCTCTCTTTCTGGATCTCATTCGTTATATGTTGGGCCATTTAGACTAATCCATTAACTTTCTTAAATTTTCTACTACTTTAAAAAATATTCTTCATTCTACTTTCTGTAAGATTTTCCCAACTTCTTAGTTTCATCCTTTCATGATGGAGGCTTCCTCAGATGACTCGTAATCCTTACCTTCTGATTCACATTGAAGAGCAAGGCACTAAAAACTGGTGCATAGCTCTGTATGCGTGGAGGCACCATGTAAGCCTGGTGTTTACTGAGAACTGAGCAAGTGCAGGAAACGGGGGGGGGGGGGGGGCACATTTTTCTGGGGAACCCTTTTGGGCCCGGAGCCATTTGGATATTTATACAGGAACATCATTTGCAGGCCATCCGAAATTAGCCTGATCTATTTGGGCAGACATTTAATTAACTCACCCCTAAAGGCTTGGCAAGGCCAGACCGAATGATTTCACGGGCGTTATACTGCCCGCGGGGGGTGGGCGGTTCCCCACCACTGCTCTAGACACAGACATACAGCTGCCCCCAACCCCTGCTCTTTGTTTCTGGCGTCCCTTTGAGTCTGGAGGCTCTCTTCCATTTCCTCTTGGTCTTCATCCCAGTGGAATGGGGGAGGAGACAACTGCTGAGCCCTGAGGTTGGAAAGAGGAATCTGGGGAGACTCACCTCATTATTTAGACTTCACAATTTCTAATACCAATGTTCCCCACTCAAACCACCTTTTAAGATTAAAAACCTTATGTTCAAGCCTTTCCGGGATCTTGGGCGAAGACCCCGCAGCGTGTATGTAGGCATCAATAAGTTAAACCTGACATACTTAATGTTTCCCTTTCCCGAAAAAAATTGAATTCCCAAGGCCTACCTTAAGATAAAACGAATTTAAAGAACAGTTATCTAAAACATTAAGGTAATTGGGAAATTTTTTGGGGTTTTTTTTTCCAACCCTCATGACCTACTTAACTCTTCTCGAAACT